ACAGAGGGCAAATCATCTCCAGCAGAAAGACCAAACAGTGGTGCCTGCAACAGCTCGTAGTCATCTTATACACTGTGGCCTGTGGGTTTTCAGGGAACAGAATTTTGGCATCTTAGAATTGGGACACATCTTTCAAAGAAGGGTGACCCTTGACTAAAGTTGAGTGAACTATTAGCACTCTGGACACTTGAGGTGAAAAATGCAGATTCGGTGGTATGATTTTTTAAATTAGATCTCTTCTGAGAAAACTGCTTCCTGAAAAAGCAGACAAGTTAAAATAATCCTTTTCTGGTGTTACAAAATGCCTCTCCGCTCAGTTCACAAAGATTTTTTTTTTTTTTTTTTTAAGAAATAAATTAAACTTGAACGTGTTCAAAATAAAAAATGCAAGTTTTGTCATTAAACAATGGTTTTTGTTTGACCACGCTAAATTTTGGCTATCCAGAATGTTATTTTTTTTTTAAAATATGGACTGACCTGCAGCGATATCTTTGAGACCTGATGTTACTCACCCAGCTGGCACTACGGGCAAATACAATTTTTAACTTCCAGAGGCCACATGGCAAGGACACCTTGGCACGTTGGCAGAACCTGTCTGCCCGCGCAGCCCGGGACCTGCTCTGCAGGCCCTGTGTGCTGGTGGGGAGTGCCCACGCACTGCCACCCACCCACTTCCCCGGCCGCGTGGGCAGCATCCCGCCCCACGCTGCGGGGCGCGGGGAGGGCCAGCGGGGACCGCACCCAAACCCGGCCTTTTAGGCCTCCATCTTGTGGTAAAAAAGGGTATTGCGGTGTCGGAGCAAGTGCTTCCTGCCGAGGAAGGGAGAGGAGGAGAGGTGTGGGTGAGGAGAGGTAAGGCCAGAGGAACTGATTCTCAGAAACCCCCAGGGGAAAAAGGGAATTTAAAACCTAAGCCTCAGGAAAGATAGCTTGAACCTGACGAGGCCTCTGCTGAAGTCCAGAAACCAAAGGCCCTTTTTTTGTTTTGTTTTGTTTTGTTTTGTTTTGTTTTGTTTTTTTTGTTTTGTTTTGTTTTGTTTTTTGGTACTAGAGCAGCTGTGGTTTTCTTGAAGCAAGAACAAGAGAACTTCACCCATTGGCACAGTGCCTGCTCCTGGTCGAGCAGCTGCCCCGGTGCCTCTCTGGGGTGTCCCATTGCTGCTTTTTCTCCTGTCAGGCAGGTGATTTCACTGTGAGTTCTCTGGGTGCACACAAAACTAATGGGCAATGCCACGGGAAGCCCTCTCTGCCCATGTCTCTGGTTGTTATCAGCCATGGTGCAGGCCCACCAGAGACCAGAGCTGTGTGCTTGACAGAGGCTGGCTGTGGCCCCAGAGGCATGCTGTTCCACCCCTCCTCGTTAACCTCTAGCTGTGACAAGGTGGATAAGGCCAATGATAATGTGAACAATAACAATAATAATTTCTCTTTCACAAGAATGCTGTGAAGACTCCTAATATGATGCTCACATTCTCCACCAGCTCACATACCTGTAGACAAGGGAAGAGTCGGGGTGGGGGGCAAGCACAGTGCAATGGGGATGTCCTGCCCCGAACTCCCCCACCGCCTTGCCTTTGCCAGTGGTTGTACTGCTCCTCCTGGGGGTCCCCAACTTGTCCTCCTTATGAGTCTGAAGGGCCACGTCTGCAACAATTGTTGGATGCTTGGTGAACAGGCTCACCTCACATTTGTGCTGACATCTTTGAAAAATGAGTTTGATTCTCTCAGTATACTGTTTCAGTGATTCATTCTTTATGTGCATTTACTCAGCGGACGTGAGGGGGGAAATAAGATTGATGCTAAATTTATATGTTAATTTTAATATTGAAGCTACCCTGTATTTGAAGAATAAGATCAATTCTTCAATTTCATTTCTTACGTGATATTGCATATTGTCATTACTGGAAAATAAAATTATTTCTGAATGCATACTATCCAAACTTCAATTTTAGTGGACATATAACTCTGAAGCATCATTCTTCTCCCTTCCTTATAACAACTAACTTAATACAGTATTTTAATATTCTCACACTAGTCTGCCACTGGAAGATAACAAAGACAAGTCCTTTCACCCTAAATGGTGTTTCATTAATACACTCCCTGCAGCATTCTGCACTGTCACAGGCAGATTTGGTGCGTGACTCAGCAACTCCCTGCAGGCTGTTGCAAGTACGATACAACAGGAAATCTCGGTTAATGAGTTGCCTCCCTCACTAGATGCTAATTCCATTCATTTCCACACTAGCAGCAGTGCTCAAGAGCCACAGCCACAGCTATACACCAAGCGTGCCTATATATGGGATGAATCCTGACCTTAAGCAGGGAGTCAAACCCTTAAAGCACAACCAGGAAGCAGATCCTGTAGAGGATGGACACAGAGCATTGCATGCACAGAAAGATTTGGCACCTACAGAGGGAGATGTACTTTAAGGAGGTCAGCTGTCAAAGACTAGGCTCTCCTGAATCTGCAACAGAAAGACAGTATTGACAGCATCTTTGGGAATGTGGTTTTCTGTTTTCTGCCTTGCAAGCTGTGCAGGAGATTAACCTGAGGGAAGGATGGCAGAAGCTTTTGCAAGGTTACATCCTTGCTCTGCCCACTAACCTGAGGAAGATCACATAGGTCAGTTTAAATTTCAGGTGTCTCTTTTTCCCTCTCTGTGAGATGAGGAATCCTTGTAGCAGAGGATTTAATGGTTATTACCTGAAAATTCTTAAAAAACTCAAGTGCTCTGTAAATGTGAGAGCAGAGCATAGTATTTACCAGAGCATGTAGTATAAGATTTTGTTTCTATTTTTTTCTCTCCCAGAGAAAGAGGCTATAGCTTTTTAAAGCTGAACAGTGCCTGCCTTCAGCAAGAGAGTTCTCCTGAAAAGCTAAGGTCAGGATAATCCTGAGGTAATCCTGAGTTGGCCACAGTTATACAATGGCTAAAAGTTGTGAAACTTAAGGCAAACACTGCTTGAGTTCTTTCCATCTGTCATACTTTGGAGACTATAGTCTTCATACGTTCCAACTTTCTCCTCTGTGACACCCAAACAAGCCCAGAAGTCTTGTGATAAAATTGTACTGCTTGCCTTTCTTTTCCTTGAAAGCAGTGAATACGTGAGTCAGCAAAAGGTTGAGGAAAAGTGAGAAAGCAGAATTTAAGACATGAGAAAGGCTCTTCTTTCTTCTAAGCCCCTACAGCCCCACTTGTGCGGCTCAAGCAGGGAGGTCTGCAGGCTCAGGAGGAGCTGGTCTCCTTCTGGTCTCTCCAGGGTAGGTGAGCACACACTGGCACTTCTCTCAGCAGTACCCATCTCAGCTTGGTGGCTGCAGCCCCCTCAGGAGTGGCTGTGAGTCGCAGGAGAAAGGCAGTGCGAGAGAGAGTAGCGTGGCAGCAGGATGATTGTGAAGGTGCTTGTGGTAACTAATGGAAGAAGTTACTTTCCTGCTTTGTTGCAT